GGGACGGAGCTCGGTGTCTATCGAGAAACCTGCGCCTTAGATGCCTTTCTGGCGTCTCTTACTTAAGCTTTTAGTTAAGGTGATGAGGGTGCTCTGAGAGCGAAGGCAGTGCGTGCCCCGCTGCAGCACCTGCAGTGCCCGCTGCCCTTCAGCTGGGCACGCTGGGGGTTGCCCCCTGCCTGGGCATGCCGGAGGTTGCCCCTTTCTTGCAGAGGRTTTGTTTGCTTTGGCATGGAGCATGGAAAAATGAACACGCTTCCAGCTCGCTCTGTTATTTTGGAGAAGCCTTTAGGAGGGTGCAGCTGTTTTGTTGGCTGCYTTTGTCAGACTGCATAAAAAATGCAAGAAATACTTGTGCCTGCCCTTGGTCTCTGAGCAGACAGGTGCAAAGCGTSAATTTGTACAGCAGCAGCACAGACTGGGCCATGCACCATGTTCTCACAGCTTATTTGGGAGCAGGCTGGGTGCACGTGAACTGTTTGTGACATATGTGGGGTGAGCCTACCTAGGGGAGTTTGCTAGTGCAATTCCACCAAACGCTGGCAAAATCTGGTTGGGGATTCTGTCACTGTCTGCCTTGTTGGCTGTAATGCTGATTCTCTGGGAGGCTGAGTGCCCAACCTGTAGAATTTGTTTCAACACTTGTATGCTCATTAGAAACTTCTCATCGAAGTTGCTGACATATGTAATAACTGGCTGTAACCATTTGAGTATTGGTTTGCCCTTGCTGTCTGAAACTACAATTTCATTGTACCCTTGGTTAACTTTGATTCATATGTGCATTCTTTGAGTTTCTCTAATAAATGTCTGTTTGAAATGAAGCCTATCACACACCATTTTTCTCTTTTTAAATTTAATGTAACGTGAGATGTTCTTGTAATGCCATTTCTGATTCTGTATTGCTTTGTGACATTTCTAAAGTGAATAATAACAATATTTTGGACGCCTTTCCTAGGAAAGTTTTTTGAGATMTTAGTTCTTGTGGCCTTTATTTCATGTTGTTCTATTTGTTTTGTCTCCTTTTTGATGTTCTGTGATGGGAAGTGAGTATACTGTTTCACCTGAGAGCATGCTCATGGTATTGAGCACTGTTGATACTGTGCAATGCTTCTCTCCCAATCTGTCCTCTGATTTTTTTTTTTTTTTTTGGCCATTGCTTATTCATTTTTATGGCACTGCAAGCTGAGCAGTTTTCATTCCTTTTCTTTTTTTTTCCTTTAGTCTAGAAATTGAAACTATATGAAACAGGCAAGAGATTGATATTGTGTGCGCTGACAAAAGACTTCCTGTGAATTCACTTGTCCTTCGGTTAAGTTTTCCAGGAGTTTTTGATACTTTCCCAAGTCCTAGCCAAATTGTGAAAGGTGGGTCTGTCCCAAAAAGTTGGATTCTGAGAACCACTTTATAGAGAATTTGATCCTCATAGGGAACCAGGATGTAGTGTATTCATTTCACCATGATCAAAGAGGTGTTTTTTTCCCATTTATGATAAATATGTAATTTTGTTCCCTGATACTTAATTTCCAAACAAATTTACTGGGCCACTAGTCTGTCATTAAACTCCACATACAATATGTCAGCCCTTTTAGTCACTGCTTTAGTCACCATTCTAGGAAAATTACAGTGGATTTTAGGGTTAAGTTTACTTTGATTTTTCTCATTTCATGTTAAAAGACAAACACCAAGTCAAATAACCCCTCAGAATACTTTCTTTGCACAAATAAAGTACTGTTTTGAATTAAGAGATTTTATCAGAATGCAATTACAAATCTTTTGTGCACTTTGGTGCTAATATTTGGGAATAAAATAATCACCCATAGATATTTCTTCCAAAAAACATACGGACAAAGTCGTATCTTTGCAGACAACCATTCAGTAAAGCACAAATCCTTGTTCAGCACTTGTAAAGGGAAAACTTGCCAGCAAGCTATTGTGTGCCACAGGAGTGCTCTGGTCTGAGAACATGTGCTGCAAATAGTCACATGATTACTTCCCCAGCCTAGTACTGCTCCTGAACTGTTAATTTTTCCTCACTTGCCTGTATCTGAAACTGATGAGAAACTGATGAGAAAACCCGCCTGGATGCCACCCTGTGCCACATGCTCTAGGTGTGCCTSCTTGAGCTGGAAGGTTGGACTAGATGATCTGTAGAGGTCCCTTCCAACCTTGAAGATTCTGTGATTCTGTGATTACTCAGCTAAGTCTGAAATTTTTATAGGTAGATGCAGTGTTTTTAAGATCTCAATTCCATGATCTAAAAGTTCATATTAGACTACAGAGCTTTTAGTGTTATAGCTATTTGTTCATCTGATTCTTTTAAAAGATTATTTGTGAAACTTCCAGTAGTGTACAATAGCATCTCTTCAGAGCATTCGATTAGTTGTTTCATATTTTTAACTAGTTAAAAGATATGAGTGTATTTGAGGTTTGTGTAATAACAGAATAACTTATTTACAAGGTTGATGTAATATTAAGAGTAGCTTTCTAATTGGGAATAGCTTATTTTCAAATTGTGATTCCTTATAACAGTACCCTTAGTTGAATAAGTCTTTGTAGCTGTCACATATCCAAATTGTTGTTGTTTTAAACAGTTTTTAAGCTATGGTCATAATATTTTACTATTTTGTATATGTTGGACCGAATCAGGAGGTGAGTCTCACTAGAAAATAATCAGATTGTGTTAGCTTCTTTCTTCATGGATTTCAATTCATGCCGAGATGACCGAAAATTTTATTTGCTAAGGATTTGGTTGTTACTTACTTAATGACATTTTAAATGTTTGTTCAGGGAAAAGATGAGGAAAAATTTTGATTGGCTATAAAGTGATTGTCAAAGAGTTATCTTTTAAAGATAACTCTGTCTTTCTTTCTTGAAATTCAAAATGTTCTTGTTAACAAGAATTAACAAATTGATTTTTAAAATAAAGGGCAAAACACAAAATATTATTATAGCATTATGAAAGTTATGCCTACTAGAGAAGACTACACAATTATTCTTTGGTAATAGATTATTGGAGGACTCTAATATAGTATAGATTTGACAGGCCAGTCTGTCAAGATGCTGTGCTTGACCTTTTTGAATTAAAAGATTATGACTATCTTAAGGACAAGGTTCTTCCCTTTAGCCTGAAATGATTTGAGATAGCCAAAGGGCATTGTGAATTGTGATTTCTACCTTGCTGAATTTGAACTGACATGCAGCTGGCCATGAAGATTGATCAGAGAGAAAAGATCAGAGACACAAAGGTATGGAATAGAAACAGTGATCCATAGTTATTGGAGTAAAGATYGAGTCGTCCGTATGTGCATAACGGTTTGAGGGATCTAGTGGAAATATCAAGAGAAGTACAAGACCGTGGATGAAAATAAGTGAAACTATAGAAAGATGGGTTTGAGTTATGAGGTAGGTCTTCCAAAAGAGATACTGAAGGAGGAGGATGGTGAAGCATTGCAACTCTTGAACATTTTCTGCTTTCATAATAAGTAGACTATTAAATATTTAAGATCTATCATTGTAGCATAGATTTTTTTCACGTATGTAAATAACAACTTTTGGAATACTGGACATGCAAAATAACTTTCTTAAAGCCTTATGTAAAAGGTTATCTTTTGACCAAGCATTTAAAAATTAAATAGATTAATCTTACTTTCTCTGCTCTATAGATTTTGAAGATGATGACGTATATGGCCAATCAGTAGAAGATGACTATTGCATTTCTCCTTCAACAGGTTAGTTCGAGTGATTACAAATAGGCATTCATATTCTGTCTTCAGCTTCTATATGTTCTGTATAGTCTTCAGGTAGTGATCACGATACAGGGAGGTTTCCCTATCCTGCTCCTTTCTCCCCTCTGATCTGCCAAATCATTGCAAAAAGATGTCATCCTAGCTTTTCTGTAGATAGGCTTCCTTTTTAAAAGAAGAAAAAATTTATATTTGATTCTTTTTCTTTTTTTCCTAATGTAGCAGCTCAATTTATCTACTCAAGGCGAGACAAACCAGCCTCATTTGCTGAGCCGTTAGAAGAGGAATATGGCTATGAAGGTGCAGAAGATGCTGCTGATTACTTTACCATCAATCACAAGTTGTCTGGAGTTGATAGAGGTAATTATAGAAAAATAATAATTCTTTTTAGAGAAGTTTCTCTTATGTGTAAAGACTTACTGAAGTAGTCTTAAATTAGTATATTTTTACTTGACTGACTTAAACTACTTACATTTTGGAATTTCATACTAGAACAGCACCCTTCATGAGTGTATCTGGTGGAAACATCTTCAGCAATGATTCTTTAAGGTCTTAGCTACTTTCTCAGATGTTACTTGAAATTTGCTAGCACATTCTAGAATATATTCTGAGTTTCCATCTGGAAATAGTGAGATTGCGTAAGGAATTCAAAGATAACATCTCTCCCGACTTGCACCAGGAGTCCATATAACCTGATAACCTAACTCCACAAATGGATGCCAAAGAAAAAGCATAAGAAACAAGATATCTCTATGATTTTTTTCCTGTAATGCCTTCCATATTATGGCAATTGGCAGTATTTAACATGGTTTTAAACCGTGTCATGCATTTCCTTGAACCAACACACAAGAGCTTTGGATACCTGCGCCATATACAACCTTGTCTAATCCTGTTTTGAACCCTTCAAACTTGGATTTCCACTTGGTCCTGCAGCCATGAATTCTGTTTTATAAACTGAGTTCTGCATGGAGGGAATAATGTTTGATTTTGAATTTGTGGGCTAATTGCTCAATTACATACTCTATGAAAAGAGTTTTCTTCCTTAAGTAGTAATAACCAATTTAATTTGTAATTTTTGTGGGATTAATCAGGATTATTTTTAATGTGTTAATGCACATAGAATAAGACGTGTTTCTGAATGATAAGGCAATAAAATAAATGAATTGAATTCAATGTTTAAAAGAGAATTTCCATGAAATTTTGAAGCAGCAGACAATTCTGGATTCAGTATCAAGTAAAGTGGGAGAAGCTCTGATAATACATAGACATATAAGTAAATATGATAATTTGGAGTGTAATCTGCATGCTTTTCTAGAAGGAAATAATGCTGAGAAGTCAATTTGGAAGAGTCAGCAAGCAGGTGGTAAATATAGTCAACAGAGTATGTAGTATTTAGAATGCTTTTGACAAGGTCCCTTGCTTATTTTAAGGAGTTAAATGATATTGAAACAAGAAGAAAAGTTGTATTCTGGACTTAAAAAGGTATAAAAGGAATCTAAAAATAGTCATACCCACTGCAAAGATTCTATTTATAGCAGTGGTATCAAAATAAGTGCTTTGCTGGTATAGATTCAGGTTGTGTTGTTCATAAATGCATAAATACAATTGGTTATTCACACTAATCAGTCAGGCAGCAAAGAATTTGAGATGGGTGCTCTTAATGAGCTGGATAATAGAATGGCTGACCATGTTCTGTGGAGCTCTTTCAGTACTTGTTTTGCAGGGGAAATGTCTGGGGAAAATTGGTTTGCTGTTTAAATATGGGCTAAGGATGCTGGTTTAAGTAACCTGGTAGAAGTTGGAATGGGTGTTGAATCTGYTTTTCAAAGTTTTGTAAAATTTGGCATCATTGGCAAAGTTTTCAAATAGCCTGTAGTCTTGTTGTGGTCTTGAGTAACCTTCCTGAAAATTGAACTGGCAGGCTGACGTTCAAGGGAGTTTTCTTGGCTTCTGTTGCAGTACTTGCAGGTCCGATGAGCACACTGCTTCTGTGAATGACTGCCTGGTGAATTTTCTGTCTCTGGTTGTGTGGCAAGTCAAGAATGTTAGGAAAGCAATCTCTAGTCAAAGTTCATACGAGTTTGATGCTTTTACTGCCTACTTTATAACAAGGAAGTTTATTTTCTAAACTGTATAAATATTTGCCTTTTTAAACAAACAAACAAACAAAAAAAACCCAGAGAGTCTGATGAGAGTCACAATGGAAGTTAAGCACTAACTTAATGTTTCTAACACAAGACTTAAATAGAAAAGTAAAAGATTTTTGAGAAAACTATACTATAAACTTTCTGTAACTATCAAAAGCCTATTTTTAGTGTAGTGTTTTTTTCTTAAGTAAACTTTGCTCAAATTCTGAAAACAATTTTTGGATATATCGTTGTGGTAGGATTTGATTGTCAAAGATCTTTGAGAATTTAATTTCCTTTGGTAGCAATACAGAAAGCTGATGCAAAGCTAAAAAGGATTGTATGACCCTCAAAAAGTATTACAGTTCTAGGAAAGGTAAAGATTGTGGATGATTTGGAAGCTGCAATGTTGATCCAGAATCACTGTTTATTTAGAATTTGTCTGTTGTGAAAACCCAAGACCTGAATAAACACTCTTTACTTTGGATATTAATTATAGCATCTGTAAAAACTTGAATTGTGCTGGTAAGTGGAATTCCACGTTGATGTACCAAATTAATATGAATAATTTTAAGGTGTTTTTTGCACCGCTTTTCAGCAGTTAAACTAGTTAATTTTTATAGAATCAAACTATGTCAGTGTTGAAAATTTAACGATCAATATATGGTAGTAAATGATAGTTCTATAGTGTAATATTTTAAATGGATCAAATGTTCTGCAGGTTTTGGAGGTAAAGCCTGTTATGAAAAAAAGTGAGATTGAAGTTGAATTAAGGTTATCTCTTAATGTGATATTTCTGTCCAATTTCTGTTATCAGATGTGTGGTGTTAGTGGTTAGACCACTTTAAAACATTTATTTTGTAGCTTATAACAGTAATATGTCTCTTCTAGCCCGTCTTAATTCATGCCTTGATCAAATGAGAGAAGTTTTGGGAGAATCTGTACCAGAGCAAACAATGGTGCAAGCAGTATTGGACAGTAAATTTGATGTACAGAAGGCTTTGGATCTTGTGCTTTCACAAGACACTAAGCAAAATACGAAGACGAAGAGTGAGGACCCTGTGATTATAGGAAAGATGACAAAAGGTACACTTCTATTTAATTATGTTTGGCTTCAGGATGATTCATTTCTATCTACACTGTAATTTTGGCTTTAAAACCCAAGAAGATACTTATTGTGTTAGTCATTCATGAGAATTATGCAAGGCTATCTTTTCTAAATTATTGTATTCTAAAAATTTAAAGGAAACAGCTTTACTTGAGTTGCAAATCAGAATAAAACAATCTCATCTTAAATGCAAACTGTAAGCAACCATCTAGAGTTTTCAGTACATTTTTGTCTTCTAATAAATGACTTTAACTGTTTGAATACACGTCCTAGAAGTTGGACAGCGTCTTTAAAAGTTTTGTATACTTCCAGTATTTCTTTGTTGAGCAAATACTCCCTCCTTCCCCTTTTGCCCCGCCCCTCCATACCTCTCCTTTTTGATAGTGTTTTCACAATAATTTCTTGTTTTGATTCATATGTCAACTGTAATATCTGTGCTGGCATTTTAGGTGATTTTTTTTTTTTAACTTCCATGATACTTGAGTAAATATCCATCATTTAATTGAATATTAGATCAGGTTGCCCAGAGAGGCTGTGRAGTCTCTGTCCTTGGAGGTGATTAAAACCAGCCTAAATGCAGTCCTGGGCAACCTGCTCTAGCTGGCCCTGCTTCAACAGAGAAGGGGGGCCAGGTGACCTCCARAGATCCCTTCAAACCTCAGCTATTCTGCAGTTCTGTGGTTGTATGTATGATGATGCACATTGCTCAATAACATTTAGTAATTAAATGCCTTTCCATRTGTTTTCTTTTTTTTTTGCTGCTGCTGTCTGCTTAAAAAAAAATAAAAATGGATGTTTCATTGCGACCATGATTCTATCTGAAAATTACTGGCTCTTGTAAGGTAAGGAGACTTACTTTGTTGTCCAGAAATATTTATTAATGCAGAAAATGTCTCTTATGCAGTAGAAAATGTTGTTGACAACACTAACACCTCTAGTCTTGGAAACCAGACAGCCAAAAGCAACTCATCTTGTTGCTCTTCAGTTACCAATGACAAAATGCATCTTACTGCTAAAATAGCCAATATGCCTTTATCTGAAAAGGAAGGTTTGAAATCCTCTTCGCTTGCTGTATCTTCTTTCAGTGATGATTTAGGTAAAGGATCATTGTATGAACCTGTGAACAAACAGGCAGAGGATCCACTACCAGAAAGTGCTAATGCAGTAAGTTTGATTCTTGACAGTGAAAATGCTTACTTGGATATAGGAAGTAACACATCTGGAAATACTTCCGTTAAGAAGTCACAGTGCAAGGAAGTACAGGACTTGAAATCCTTGCTGATGCAAAATGTGATTTGTGAAGACAGCATTTCTTCAGATACTTCTGATTGTCACAGTAATGCAAACTTTGATAGTCCTCATGGTTTAGCAAGTCCTTTAGGAAAATTAACTCTTGATTCTGAAGTTGGTCGTCCTCTAAATAGAAAGAATGAACTTGAAAGTTTGTCTTCGCTTGTACAAGGTAGAAAACAGGTAAGTCTTTCTTTAGAGATGGCCACTTTGCCAGTGTCAAAGTCTGGAGGTGCTTCACTGGCTGACTTACTTCAGGAGCACCAGGAATGCAGTGCAAGCCGCTGTTACTCTCTGGCTGATCTTTATGCTCAGTCAAGAGGGAGTCTCACAGATGTGAAATTGGGAACCTCATCATTATCACAACTAGTAAGTCAACCTCAGACTTCAGGGGTGATGCCAGAACTGACAGAATCGTTGTCTTCGCTAGCCCTCTCCAAAGTTTCTCCAGTAAAGGATTTTGAGAGTTTGTCACTGTCAGATTTAATTGCGGGGACTGTTGAAGTAGACAAAMCTCAGCAAGGAAAGGACTTTTCCACACTAAGTGTAACTGAGGTGAAGCCCTCTAAAAAAGCAAAAATTGACTTGAGTAGCATAAGAAAAAAAGCAGATGCATCAGTAGAACAAACTGTAGTAGGACACTCAAATGTCTTAATCCCGCAAACTAAAGATTTAGATGTAAAGCAAGGAAAAGGTTCTGGTTTTCCTAAAACAGATAAAAAAGGCAAAAAAGAGTTTATTCCTAAGAGGCAGGATTTGACCCTTTCGTGGATTAAGGCACTGCGTGCCAGACCTTCACCCTTTGCTTTAACTTTGTGTCTCCGTTACCCTCCAAAAGGCTATAAGCGGCGCAGGGTGGGTGTGCATAAAGCTTTCCTGTACAGCAGGCAARTGCAAGAAGTGAAACCTGAGGAAACTGCTCCTGCAGTAGCCATAACACCCTTTGACTTCCAGTCAGCCTCTCCCGATGATATTGTGAAAGAAAAACAAAAAAAAGCTTTTATAAGAGAGTAGTACAAAGCATGGGAAACAATCAGTGTTTACATCTTCATATCTTAAGAAATAAATTTTATATGGAATATTTATAGCCCAGAATTAAAATCATATATTTTTTTAACAATATGTGTCACAATTATCGTTACATTGGTAACTAATTTGTACAAGAAGTTTTTAGCTGGTGCACTGGATTTCTTTCCCTTTTTCCCTAATTTTCACTGACATTTTAATATTTTTAGCTTTAGAAAATCTTGAGCTTCARTAAATAGGAATTGCATGTATAAGCCTATAAACACAAATAGACTTGTTTATACACCTTTCTTGGTGTTCAAAATATACTTCATTGGGAAGAACACTGACTTAGTATTTTTTAAAAATCATCAGTTTTGCTGCGTGGGATGTATTTCTGGGTAAGGAGAATCTCTGTTTATCTTAGGCATATATTTTATTAAATGTTTGTAAAGTTGAATTTTCTGATAAGGGATATTAAACSGTCAGCTCGTAATTGGTGTTTTCACTTGATGTCACTCTTCTGTGATCATTTTGGTTTCAATGTTACAACACCATTACCTTCAATTTTTAATAGCCTCATTGACCTCTATTTTTAATAGTTGGGGTTGTGATAGGACCTGTATAGCTTTTGATAGGACGTGTATAGTTTCTGATAGGACCAAATTTATAGGGCAGCACTTAACGTAGAAATTGCGTGCCCCTTCGCTTTGCCAGCACATGTCAAAATGGGATATTGAGAATTTTGGAATACCTGTTTGCAGTAGTTTCACGTAACGTGTTTCGTGAGAAGTTTCAGTAGGATTTTGCGTTTATTTTGGGGTCTGTCAGACTCCAGAGGAGTTGTGGAATAACAGTTCTCCTTTTGGTTTTGGCATGAGAGTCTTTGGTTAAGGGGGAGATTAAAACAGAATTTCAAGACAAAGCAGAGGTGCTTTTTTGTATTTGTCTTGTCTGTTTTGGAGGAGAAAGCTCCCTTAGTAGTGGAAATGTGTCCTTTTCTATTGTTGGCCTTTTTTGCTCMTACTTTTAAGCTTTAGAAGATCAAAATCAGACCATTTGGGACTTTTTTTTTTAAGCTGGTAATTACCAAGTTCTGATGCACCTCTTAGGTGTAATGTTAGGCATACATTCATTCATAAATTGCCATACACTTATCCATCTTAAAGCTGGCAGCTAGTGTGGAGCAGTAGATTTAGTTCACTATGTTTTATCAGAAAGGCGACAAAAATAGATTTATTCCTGACTCCAGGTTGCAGTATAGTCTTATTTTTAAACAAAAATAAAACATGTTCTGCTCTCAGGTACAAATTTCATGTTCTGTATATTTTGTCTCATTGACACTTGCATTAATCTCGTTTAGAGGCTCTGAATAGCATATATTTTAATTTTTTTAATAATAGTTTGACCTCTGACCTCTTGAATGAATGTTTCTTATCCTTACTAATAAAAGTTTTATATAATGACAGTGTTGTATTGTTTATGTTCTAGATGACATATTTGGTCTAGCCATCTGTATTATTGCATATTTTAAGTGCCTTAAAAGTTTAAAGTGTAAATAGTGCAGCCTGATGTACATACTGTGCTCGGAGAGCCTCAAGAGCAGAATTGGTCTCCTTCCCCCTTTGCTTCAGGACCTCTCTTTCCTCTACAAACCAGCGTCCGCTTCTCAAACCTGCTTCAACAGATATTCCTGTTTAAGATTTGAGACTATAAGGTTTGTGAAAGTCTGGTTGATGCTGCTTGTACGCTGGTTGTATAATTAATAAGTCTTCATACCTAGTTCTGCTTCTGGACCAGTGTGCAATGCCTTCAGTAGTCCTTATTCTGCAGTTAGTCCCAGTATGAACTTCTCRCTCCCGAAAAGCCCAGGTCTTTTTTTTTCCCATCAAGAGGAAAGATCCTATTAGGAGTGTTTAGAATTAATGTTTTTCAGAAATGAAGTGTATTCTTCCAGTAAAGAAATTTCATTTTATTTAAAAAATAAACTACAAAGTTAGCTACAGTCCTGCRTGGCCCTAACGTTAGATGTTTTGAGTTTCTTGTGTTCAGAATTCTCTTGGGGCCCTACTTAATTATTCTGAAGGCAGAGTTTTCTGATGCAAACACTTTCTGAATTTTCATGGGATGGCTTTTTTTTGGTTTGTTTGTTTTTCTAACTCCCAGATCCTTTCTTTTATTCTTCCTATTGGGCTTTTTCATTATTGTGGTCTTTTTTTTTTTTTTTTTTCTTTTCTGACTGCTGCTTTTTTTCCCCTAAAACTTTTTAGCACTTTTAATAGTTATAGAGCCAACTACTGAACATGCACCAAAATTATAACCTGTGGATTCACTTGTAAAGTACCTGTAAATAATTTGTGTACTTGGAACTTTTTTTTGGCATGGGAGTTATGTAGATAAAGTGTTGGAACAAATAGCTGAAGCCACAGGGCATCAGCATGTTTTTTTTTTTTTTTTTTTTTAAATGGATCCTACTGGGGAAATGGCAGTAAGTTAGCAGGCAACTTTGGGTCTTGTTTAGTAACTAGATTTTCACATATTTGATGGTATTGGTGACATGAGAGATTCTTCTTCCTGCATCCCAAAGTAAAAAAGTGTGGAAGTAATGAATAAGCCTGAATTCCAGTTACTTTTCAGCAGAGATTAGTTATTTTTATATATGGAAAATTGCACTTTTTTTTTC